TGAGCTCCATTCAACATTATAAATGGGTCATAATCAGTGTACTGAAGACACCCAATTCTTCAGGTTGGCATACTGGGGTTACTTGTGGGCCTTGCATGCTCCTAGCCAGATACCAGATGGAGTACCTCTCCCCTTTACCAGGTTCATCTGATGTGGCAGCTTCATCCATTTCTTTGCCACATCCAAATTAGGCTACACATTTGAGGATGCCTTTGACAATGACTGGGAAAGATGGTCATGTGCCAGATTGGTGAGTGGAGTTTATACGATATTATTATCTAATGAGAAAAAAGAAGAATTCTTCTGGAATAGACAAAAGGTCTAATAGATGCATCTTCCAACCTCTACTCCTTAGTAACTGGGAAGAACATAATCATATGCCATCATTAGGAGCTATCGATAGCTCTGTGATATTTTTCCCCAATTTGATGGTTATGGAGGTTTTGAGTTTGAAACTCTAAACAAGTCTAGGAACTGTATTCTCCATACAAGGGAAACTAATGGTGAGGTCACCCTTTGCACTGTGAAACATGCTTTTCTATCACTGCAAGTACTAGATCTTTTAAAACCATCACCATTATATTCAGCACCACCATTTTCAATCTGCAGTTGATTGAATCCACAGAATTGGAGCCTGTGGATACAGAGGACTCACTGCACATTTCTGAAGTACAGTATACAATAAACAGTGTCATTGGTATGGAATGTAGAATGCATGAGCATGTTGTTATTTATGCAGGCATGTATAATATGAATATGATAAAAGGATATTGCAAGAACCTGGAAATAGAGACCGCCTTTTGTCATATGCATTTAGAAAAATAATACACAGAACACTTGCAGTCAGTCCAACCATCCAGATTAAATGTTGACTTTGTTAATCATTGTTCAGTTTGGGAATAGCACCTTTCAGCTCTTTAAGTAAATACATATGCAAACCTGAGAGACTAATTAAAATTGGTAGGCTAATTAATCATAGTTTCCCATGGCATATGGATATAAGACTGGTATATATGTCAGCCAAACCATCTGAGACATATCTAAACCAAACCTATAATTTGAAAAAGAAAACTCAGACCTGGTAGTGCTGCTGAACAATAGTACTAAGTTCCTCAAATCAGTCTTACCAAGGTGGGATGGTATGGGAGGGAGAGCTTCAGTTGTTCCTTCTTACAAATATAATTAAGTTGGACTGTTAGTCTGTTTGCTACTTCATTAATGGTTTGAAGAAAATATTTACATATAATCCTTAAAGGTAGCTCCTGACTAAATAGGAATGCTTTCAATTAGTCTTAATTTGTTTCCAGATACTGCACAGCTAACAAACAGATTGTTTTGAAGATGTACATCCAGAGGACGGTCTTTGAAGGCCTAGATCATCTGGGAAAACAGCTGTTGCAGAGAGGCAGCAATTTTTCACAGTGGGATCCTGCCTTCTGATGTCCTTCATTCTGACATCTGAAGGGTTACGCAGGATGGGAAGCCAAAAAAGTTGCTTTGAATTAGCTCAGTTTGAAAAGGTTGCAGTTTTTTCACATTGTGAACTTTTCCACTGCTGATATAATCACATATCAGCTTTCTTTCGGCTTGCAACTTTGCTGTGAAGCCACATATGTACAACATCCTATCAGCAAGGAAAGGTACAATTCTAGCCAACTGCAAAGTAGACTTGCCTTATTACATTGCTTTTTTCAGTCCTCAAGAAGTGACACTTTCATTTGTAGAGCTTCAGAAATCATTGGTGCGCTCTTCCATGACTTGATCACACAATGTTGCATATTGCAGCATACAGGCAGAAATTCCCTCAATCTCTCCCACAAAGTTTCCCAAATACTAGTGAACAGGAGCAGAGGTAATTTATTACCGAGGCAGGAACTTTCCTGACCTCTTCAAGCCTGAGTGCCTTCCCTCAGAGAGTCTGCTGGTGACTAATGTATCATGGCCCCATGCCTTGTCGACATTGATAGACCCCATCTGGTGATTAACTCGCTCCATCAATTCAACGTTTTGCCAGCAGTTTTTCTTCAACTGTTTTGAAACCTTGTTCTTGAAATGAATGCATCATATTTTTCATCTCTGATATTGTATGATGTTTTAACTAGTTGAAATTTTGCTTCCTGTTTTTGTTGCTGTTTTAATGACTGATAGCATAGCGGATAACATATTAGATGAAATACATTACTAGCTATTTTGTAATAGAACAAGCTATACATCATTTGAACTAAATACAAAAATGAATAATGTCATAACTTGGAAACCCCAAAGTTTCCATGGCTTTGCCTTTCCTGTTATAACTTACTTTTGTAGTCAGTCAGTTATAGCCCAATTCAGTGAATGGTTAACCAATCCCATTAAGTTAAATGGTGCCCACTTTTTGGTACTCTTTGCTGAATTCTCTTCCTGCCATATCTGTGTCCTTTACAAAATGTTTCCACTCACATCAGACATAATATTTTAGCTGAGAGCTAACCAAGAATGCAAGGATAGAGATAAAGCAGTCAAGGACACTCATATAATGAAGGAGAGAAAGCTGACAAACTACACATGCCAATAACATTCTCAAATTTATCACTGTAAACAAAAGCTTCTTTTATCCCTTTAAAAAAACTCGTAAGACATCCATCTCAGAAAAATCTGTCAATTGATGCAGTTTGGTTTCCAACATGTATCATTCTCATGCTTAGCTGTCATATCCTCTTCCAATGTCATAAGTTTGTGATGGGTTCCTACACAGTTACAGCCAATATAATGACAGTGTTGTGGTTTATTTATTATAGATTTCAAAATACAGCCCCAAAGATTCAGTTTTTTTATATGAATATGCTTGAAGTTGCTCTAAGATTCAGGTGGCAGAGTAGATGATTGCCAAGAAATGCACAACAGATTACAATAAGATCTAGGATATGCTATAGTACACAGGTACTTTCTGAAATGGAAAAAGGACAGATTTGGGAATTTAAATCAAGGCATATCCAAAACCAGAGGCTACAAAAATCTTGACTCACATTGTGTGTGACTGATGATATTATAGAAGGATTGAAATTACAAGTTGAAATATAACAAAGGAAACATATTACCAGAAAACACAGTTGCATGCAAAAGAACTAGGAAAGACCAAATACTATGCATGTTAGACCTTTAGGGGATTTCTAAGGGTTGGTTTTCAAAGAAATTTCCATCTCAAAGCTTTCTAAACCCTGGGGCACCATCTATTGGCCAATCTCCATATATCATTTTGTTCTCTTAAATATATTTTAGTTTTTCCTTCTGAATCAGTATCAGATTAGTGCTTGGATGTAACAAGTTATTAGCAGCACCTGTTAACATATTATTTTCTTGAAGCTGTATTTCAAATGTAAGACAACAAGTCAGGACAAAGTTGTGTGGCTGTGTGATGAATAACAATTTCCTGTTACTTTTCAAAGTTTCATTTTAATTTGTTTAGACTTTTTGAGGTATTTTGAGTGTAATTTTAAAAACACCTAATCGTCCAACCTAACACTTTTTTAAAGTGCCAAAAACTGAATTTGAGTAAATTCTCAAATTCAAAATGTTTCATTTATTTTGTGTTGAAAGCATTGCATAAATAAATATGTGTAAAACTGATAAAATAAAGGATCACAAGCAGCTAAATAGTTTTAGATCAAAAACGGGCAACAGTGACTGTGTTGACTGTAGCTTTAAATAGTTCTTCCTCTGTGAATTAAGACTGGGCATTGTGGAAAAGCATATAGATGCTGAGTTGTTTGTTCTGCTCCACAGTCGCACAAGGTGAAGGATTCTTCTTAGTGACCTCATCACACTAGAGAATGAATCCACTTTAAATCTGGTTGCTGCCTCCTGCAGAATTCTGGGGTTTGTAGTTTAGGGAAGAGCCTTTAACAGTCTCACTAAACTACAAACCCCAGTATTCTGCAGGAGGCAGAAACTGGGCTTAAAGTGGATTCATTCTCTAGTGTGATGATGATGAAGTAGTAGTAGGTAGTGCCATTTCGCCAGCTTGTCTTTTGATCTGCCCATTCCACTTCTGAGTCTGTTCAAAGACTTTCAAGTTGCCCCAAACCTTTAGTTTGCCCCTGAAGGAAGACCTTCATGGGGGGCTATCCAGTTGGAATTGCCTGACGTTGATGCCCACAAGTATATTCTTGCTATTGCTGGAGGAACATATAGAGGAGTGGTGGTTCTCATTAAACTTTTCCTTAATTTGAGTCTACTGAGAAGAGGCTGATAGCCATATAGTGGGTGGCTTTCACGGTGTTCAATCTTATTTCTCTCACAATTGGCAGCAACTTCCCATTGCACATCAGCAAGGGCAATGCCAGCTAGCTTATAAAGTCTATCAACAGGTGTAGGCTTAATTCAAAATGGTGCCATCCATGAATTTTCACCATTGCATGCATCATCTTTTTTTTCCAGCAACATGCCATAAATGTGTGGCTATTCTTACAAATCTGGTAGACTGGTTCCCTTCCTCAAAACACCACATAAAAGAATTCATACCCAGGAAGAACAAGCAGAACAAGGAGAAACACGCTGTCTATTTTCGTTCATATACATGTCTAACAATTACTTAAAATATTAAACAGCTGGAAAGAGTAGACTCAAGAACTCATGAAAAACTAATAATTTCCAGCAATTTAGAGTCTCTCTATTACCTAGCATCATCTTTCATTTTTTGTTTTTGAAATGATGCTTATAGTTTCTCTTAAGAAGGGACACAGCTTAGTCATCTCAACATAAAATCTCTATTGACATCTCTCATCATATATCTGTACTATAGAAGCAACTGAGGAAGTCATTTCCCACATCACGATTTTCCACAGGGCTAAATTGTCGACAGTAATAACCAATTCAAAGAAATTACTTTAGGAAAGCTCAGCATGTAAAGGCATATCCAACAGAGAGTGAAAATGAAATACCTAGAGTGTTCCAACTGATGTGAAATACAGTGCAATTATAATGTAACAGCTAAAAAAACAGGTGTCAATAAAAGCTCATACCAGGAAAAGAGATGCGCCGTCTCAAACCCACACAGTCTAATCCTGTTGGTGTACTTTGAGAATAGAGATGCAGCTTCAGAGGCAGGGCATCAAAGGGCATGGATGAAGTACTTGATGGTCTCATTTTAATCTATACCAAAAAAAATAAAGATTAATAGTGAATTAAGGAAACATATAGCTTGGACAGAGCCAGCAAACATTACTTTTTGTAGTCCAAAAAGTAACATTTCTAAGCCCTGAAGTTTGACTTTTTGCACTCAAAAGAAATCTCAGACTGGTTATGAGAATGGGCTCCTAGATAGTTATAGAGAAAGAATATTGAGATTTCAAAGGAGAACAGTGTTATTAATGAAAAGTGCAAAGAATTTTAAATGTGTTGGGAGCATTGACATGCATGATCACAACAAACAAAAAAAGAGGATACCTGGTACAAAAACTTTGAGGAAATCCATGAGAAACTGAATACCTTGAAACATTGATCAAAATATTTTCACTTTCTCGTTTTTTGTTGTGTTATAACCTGGAATTCAAATAGACTTACTGGCAATGATACTATGTGATATACACAAAATGCATAAAACTTGTGAAGATTTGGTATTTTCAGCATGGCACAGAAGCTAAGTAAACTAAAACATGTTATTATGTATCGTATGTATGTCAAATAAATGCACCAGTTAAATCTATTTCAGTTCCAAATTGTAACTCAGCATAATGCCGAAAAATCAAAGTAGGGGCAAATACCTTTGCAAGTCATAGTAATATGGTTTCTAATGAAAAAAATCAACAACATATATTGCTTACTATATCCTTCCTCAACCTGGTGCCCATTACATGTGATGGACCACAGCTTCCACAATCTCCAGCTAGTATGGCAAATGGCTATCATAGTTGGCGAATGATAGGAGTGATGCGTAATGTAGCATATATAAACTTTTAAACCCCTCCCATTGTAAGAATAGGTTAGGTAAAGATTTTCCCCTGACATTAAGTCCAGTCGTGTCCAGCCCTGGGGTGTGGTGCTCATCTCCATTTCTAAGCTGAAGAGCCAGCGTTGTCCGTAGACACCTCCTAGGTCATGTGGCCAGCATGACTGCATGGAGCGCGGTTACCTTCCTGCCGGAGCAGTACCTATTGATCTACTTATATTTGCATGTTTTCAAACTGCTAGGTTGGCAGAAGCGGGGACTGACAGTGGAAGCTCACACCGCTCCCCAGATTCGAACCTGTGACCTTTCGGTCAACAAGCTCAGCAGCTCAGCACTTTAACCCACTGCGCCACTGGGGGCTCCAATATTGTAAGAATAGCCAACACAAAAAAAGAAAAGATACAACTGAGAGGACCTCTTTTTCAAGGCAAAATATCCATTGCACAGATGAATCTTAATGCACATGTGAATGCCATCCAGTGTTAGAAATAAAGAAAAAAGCAGAACTGGTTAAAGGAATAGCTTGAAGGAAGATGATGATGGTAGAGAGATGCAGCCAGAGAGAGGACACAAGAGTATCTTCGGCTTCTTACTTTTAACAGATCCTCTGGGAGGTTACTCAGTTCATTCTCTCTGCCTGAATGTGCCTCTTTCACAAGCTTCCTTTTCCGGTTCTTCTCCATCCATGTGTCGTCAAAGCTGAAACGCTTGTATAGGGATCTGTGTCTCCTCCTCTGGGAATGCTCTTTTGCTTTCCCTTTCTGAATACGAAAGGGAAGCAGCCAGGCTTTGTTCTCTATATTTGAGAATGAGTATGGAGGCAATGACATCTGAGTAGACCTCTTTCTGCAATGGAGGCCATGTTTTTCAGCTGGCCTCTTTTCTGATGGGATCTGGCTGGGTTGGGTAGTTTCCTGTTTTATAAGCAACAGGCAAGAACAAAAACGTTGGTTGGTTTGTTGACTTATGCTGTGCATCAAAACAAGCATCTTGAAACGGGCATGTCATGAATCCCATCTTGGGAGAAAGGCAGGTTATCAATTTAATAAATAAATAAATAAAACCAATGCCTATTTGCACCTCTTCAAAGCAACACCATCTGTGTCTTACAAACATAGGCTATGAAAGCCCTACTTGTTCCCAGGTATTTTCAGTCCAGATGCAGCAATCTAAATGGAACTTTAGTTGTATAGCAACCTGTATCAATAAGTATTTTAATGTACACAATGGGAAAAGAGTATACAAATCTAATGTCAGCATCCTCAAGTACTTCCTAGGGATTCAGCATACTGGAAATTCAGAAGGTCAGTTGTTATATTTTTCTTAGTGCCCCCCACATTCCCAATGCCTCACTCCGCAGCACTGCTGAAAATTTAAAATGGCAACTTACAACCACCGTGTAAGCCCGCTGATCTAGAACTGTGCCTATGAATAGGTGAAGATTCTTCTTAACCTATGATTCCAAAGTCTGGTCCTACAGGTATTTTGGACTTCAGCTCTCAAAATCTCTGACCATTGACCTAAGTGGCCAAGGCTGTTGTGAGTTGAGCACTTCAAGATCAGAGTTTGGGAATTACTATACCAAATGTTGGAAGTCCAGCTCCAAGAATCAACAGTAGACATAGCTGACAATTATAGTTTCTGGGAGTTTTAAGGTAAAAGTAAAGGTTTCCCCTTGACATTAAGTCTAGTCGTGTCTGCCTCTGGGGGGGTGGCACTCATTTCCATTTCTAAGCCAAAGAGCTGGTGTTGCCTGTAGATGCCTCCAAGGTTATGTGGCCGACATAACTGCATGGAACACCATTACCTTCCTGCCAGAGCAGTACCTATTCATCTACTCACATTTGCATGTTTTTGAATGGCTAGGTTGGCAGAATTTTAGTCCAGCAATATTTGAGAATGTGAGTTTGGTAGTTACTGCTTTAGACAACTCCCCTAAAAATACCCTATATACTCTTCAGTTCTTGAAAACATGAAGAGACAGCTTATATATATTATAATGTATAGCATACTCTGCATACTATATAATATATAGTACATTATATTACTATCTATGGCAGTATCAGCTATAAACCCATGCTTGACCATCTTGGAATAAAAAACCAACCTCCAGAGAGCACAGAAACACTGGATTTAAACATTAGATTTCTCTTTGACTAAGATCTGGGGAAATGTTTGTGAACCTATCACTGGGCATTCTTGGCAAGCTCAGTTCAGAACAGCTTTGCCATTGCCTTTCTCTGAGGCAGAGTGTGTGACTTGCCCAAGGTCACCCAACTGAGTTCATGGCCAAGCAGGGATTTTAACCCTGGTCTCCACAGCTGTAATCCAGTGTTCAAATCACTACTCTATGTTGGCTCCTAAAAGAACTTAGCTTTCAATATAATTTGTGGACCACTGGTGATGGTGACCACAAGATTCTGAGAGATTCAATTTAAAAAATGCTTTTTGGAAGACCCTGGAAGGGCCAATGAGGAATACTGAATAATTTATAGTTAAGGACCTTTACTCAGTGGTAGAAAATTGCATGCAGGTTCAATCGCATATGTATGTGTGTATGTATGCACAATAGCAGGTAAAGATTAAAATTCTTTGTCTCAGCCCACAAAGAGACTATTGATATGTTTTGAGCTAGATGCATGGACAGTTTGACCTTATATATGATGGATTTCTACACACCATGTAGGGAAATATTCACTACTCACTGTAAGATAAGGGTGGTGTCAGTCAGTCACCATGATGACTTCTCTGTTTTGGAGCTGTGCTTGGAGTCATGAGTCTCCAAACATAATCATCATTATCATCATAAATAAATAAATAAACCATCTCAGAGTCGTTCTCTCATGACCGCATACACATGACACAAGAAGACAAAACTAGTTATCTATCTAATTTGCCTGGGGCAGACTTAATAGCAGAACCCTAAATTCTTGTCCTTAGTAACACTGCAGAAATTGCAGATAAATAGATCTTACATGTGGTCTGTATGTACCTGCATATTTTACATGTGCACTTCTAGAATTGCTTTAAAATAGGAAACTCTGTCCAATGTTACTGTACCTAAATTAGACACAGTGAAATCAACGGAACTACATTAATTTGATGGGGAAGTCCCAATCCTTTCAACAGCGGGACCAATTTAGCCTACAATTTTGGAAACATTAAAATTACAGCTGAACTGGTCCAGAATCCCATTCAATCTCTTCAATATATGAAAAACTCTTCCTCTGGAAGAGGAGAGTGAATACAAATAAAAGTAATTAGCTTAAATGAGACTGCACCCATTAGCCACATGAATCCAGTTTCAAAGCAACTCACCTCATCTCTGATGATATCACTGACTGAAGAAGTCATGTTTAAGCTGATTTGTGACTGGCTGCTTATCCCACTGTCTTCTCTCAGGTAATCATTATCTAGGGAGTGAACAGATTGCAAGAAGCTAGATCTAGGCTTCAGTGTCTTTGGCTTCTCAGGAGCTTCCAAGCTACTATCAGTCATGGAGATGTTTCCAAGAGATATCATTGATGTGGAATTGAGCCTCCCAGGGTAATGGAAACCTCTGCGTTGAGAACTGGTTCGAGGACTTTGTGGTTTGGGACTCATGGGCCTACATGGTATATCTTTACGTTCATACATTGACAATTGAGGGCAAGAAGGAGTGAAATGAGAAAATGAAGACTGCAAGTCAACTGGGCTAAGTGGAGATTTCAACCAGAATTCTTCCAAGGAACTATCCTCATCATTGCCTGTTGTTGATTCTTTCCCATTACAGTCTATGCTATGTGGGCATTGTATAGTCAGTTCTTGAGATGGCTCCCTTCTCCTCCTCCTTGTGTTTACTGCTGGGAAGTCACCAGTTCCAGAGGAGTCAGAATGTGCAGCGTCCACAGATGAGCCATTAGTTACACTTGAGATTGTAAATACTTGCCCATTGTGATATCCCTGTTTTTCCTTGGATCCTCTTCTCGCAAAGCTGCCAGGACTCCTGTTTGAACAAGGACTCTGCTGTGTTGGAAGAGGACTAGTTACAGCAGACTGTTTCAGACCACCTGCCTCCTTGCTTTTCAGAAATACTTTCCAGGACGTTTGATGCAACTTGGCTTTTTCCTTTTCATTTTTAATTGAAACCTTTGGACTCTGTTCAGCATTTTCTTTCTCCAGAGTTTTAGATTCAAAGAAACTTGAGAAGGACCTGTGAGCCAAGGCCAACCGACTCCTAAATTTTTTACCCTCTGTGCTTTTGTTTCTTTTAAAGTCATTTTCAGATGAGGATTTCCTGAGTTCAAGGTAATCTGAAGATTCGTTCTCATTATTCTCCACAGAACCTAAAACTTTCGCTTCTGTGAACTTTGTTCTGGGCAGGACAGGAGAAGAACTAGTGCCCACATCTTCCAGGAGTATGCGTCCAGAGCCTGAAGCTTTTCTCAGGCTAATTCGGTTGAAGAGTCCAACAGGTTTCTCATAAAATAAATCATCATCATCCGAAAACTCTGCAAAGGAATGCTCTTTGCTTTGGAAAGCAGAAGTGGGTGAATTGATAGGTTTCACACTATCATCCATTTCTTCCCCTTTATCTCCATCTATTACTTCTGTCTTGGTCTGGGTGTTGTCCTGACTTTCAGCACTTGCAAGCTTAGTTTTCCTAAAAGATGCCATTTTTGAAAAGGCTAAAAATTTTGAATGCTTGGCAGACTTGTCTGTAGCTCCAACCTTGTTGTTCCTTTGCAATGTTTTATAGAAACTGTTATTACTGCTCAGTAAATTGCAGAGGTTCTCATCCATCTCCTCACTGTTTGTGCTCCCAGTGCTGATGTTATCCAAACCTCCAGTGCTATTGTCTTGGTTGTCAGCTTTCACTAAATTTTCACCTATATATGGGTTTGAATTCAGTCCACTCTCTGTTCCAATGTACTTTGGATCTTCTTTAGAGAAACCCTTACTGGGTTCTGTGTTCAGAGAATGGTTTGTTTCTCCTTGTAACGTATCATGGCTTTGAGTGTTTTCTTCCTCAAGTCTTTGCTTGCCATGATTCTCTAAGGTCTTATTAGCAATCGTGCTTTCCTCACACAAGGTATGTCCATGGTTCACTTCTTGTGCTCTTGATAGACTTATGCAAATGCTCTGTTCCAGATTTGTAGACACAGGTTCATCCACTGATATACAGCCTGAGCTTTCTTTCAACAATAGGTTTTCTTCTTGCATGGTCTTTGAGACAAACACAGCTTTCATTTTGCAGGGATTTCTCTGCAACATCTCAGCATTTGTGGTATATAGTTCTAAGGACAAGTCACTTGTACATCCCTCTTCTATCCAGGTTTGTACAGCACTTCCTAAACTTAAATTTGTTCTAAGAGAACCGTTCGCCACACAACCTTCTATAGACTCAGACACTGCAGGGTCTTGCACTGAAGATAAATCCAGAAGGGATGCTTCCCTTTTCTCATGAATATTTTTTGCACCTTCTTGAGTGGCCCTCAGAACAAGAAAATCACTATCACTGCCTGATAAAAGTTGTGCAGGCAAAGTATCTTTTCCACAAATGGACTCTATATTTAAATTTTCCTGTGGTTCTGTGCCATCTGCTGTAGTGTCAAGATGAGAGGCTAAATTCTCATGTTCAAGTATTTCGGTAGTTGATTCACTTGGGATTGTTTCACCCTCCAGCTTTTTTAACTCTAATCCTTTTTGACCAAAAGCTGTCATCAAGAAAGGTTTTAACTCTGAAAATGTTTCATATTTTTCTCCGTGGCAAAGGTACTGTGGTTTTGGTTCTAGTTCAGAGTCACCTTCACAATCATAACCACAACAACAGTCCTTTGTTTCCATATTCATGAATGGAACATCAGTCTTTTCCTGACTGGGAGAACATATTACGGCACTGGTTGGCCTACTCATGTTTTGAAGCAGAATTGCTTCTTGTTCTCCTGTGAAGCCTTTCCCACTTGATAACAGAATTCCATCCCTTGTCCCCCAATCTAAACCAAATCCAGAATTGCTTCTCACTTCAGTGACTCCTAGAAAGGCCTCAGTGTCTTCAGTTTCAGGGTACTGTCTTTCCTTGCTCACATCTGTACTAAGTGTGGAAGCATGGAGACTACCAGTGTCATTTTTATCTACCATGATACAGACATCTAGGAAATGTTCTTCTGCATCATGAGTGTTTGATTCAGAGTTAAGTTGCTGACAAATCTCTTTAATTTCTGTCTCAGTCTCTGACACAGCATGGTTTTTTAATACTATGTTGGCATTTATATGTGTTGGGATACACTCCAGAGTTGAGGAATTCCCCTGTTTGGAATTATCCAATATTGTGGGAAAGGGCAGCTGGGAGAGTGCCAAAGAATCACATTCAGATGTATCTGCTCTTTTTGTTATAAGGCCATACGTCTTAGATTTGTTGTGTAAATGCTCATCGGTAGCCCAGTGAAGGCTTGCCGCTTGCGTCAACTGGCTGTTATTTAAGACAGTGTGAGTATCAAGAAGCAATCCTTTAATGCCCACATCTTTTGTTATATTTGAAGGATCATTTGGGTTGCCATCAAACCTTCTAAAGTTTTCCTTTATATGTCCAAATCTTGATACTTCTAGAGGTATTCTGGAGCATGACCAACTTAATTTATCTGCTAGACATATACAATCATTGTTGTGTTCTCTGGCCTCATGAGTGGTTATGTTTCCAGGTGAACTGTGCCATGACTTCAGTTTTAAGGTCCCTGGTCTTTCTGATGACAGCTGAAATGTGGGTGTTAAAGATGACAAATCTGTGGCTTTGAGCTTTGTACCACACAAGTGGCTATCAGCAGGTATTTGACTATCAGTAATATCCTTCCTATTGCACTTTGTCTTCAGTATATAGTCTTCTTTATACTTAACTTTGGAGGCTTCACAGTTTCTTTTCCATATTCTGTTTGTTTCTAAGTGAATATTAGGCAAACTGTATTGTGAGGCAGCTTTTGAGTGGGCAAGAGAATGCCGAGTTTCAAAGAAGTTCAGAGAGCTTTCAGAGCTTGCTCTGAGACCAGCACATATTTTCATATCTCTCCTAGGGTTGCATGTTCTAAGTGCACCTTCAGCAAGATTTTTTGAATTGATACAGTAATGTGCATCTCTCTCCACAGCACTTGCCTCCATATTCAGTAAAACACCAGTCTGTAATGCAGCATCCTCTCTGTGAGTTTTTGGCCCTACATAGATATTACTGTAAGGTAATGTTTTCTCTTTTCCACCGATCTCTTCTGAATCTGATTCCGGCATTAGGATCTCCAATTCAGATTTGCTTACTGCTGCATGTAAAACTGAAGGCAAATCTGCTACTTCCTCCTGCATACATCCCAGCTGTTTTTCACACTCAGACTCAGTGTGAACTACTTCTGCTTTTGTTTCAGAATACTTGTGTTGCGATTCTTCTATTTCTGAAGAAAGGCAGTAGGAACTCAGGTTGGTTTCTCTTGTTACATCACTGGCAATGGACTCTGAGTCTGATGCACTTTCATAAGGCTCTGTTTTGATGTCCGATAGTGATTCACTCTGATGTGATCGGGTCTCAAAATAGTCTTCATCTGTTTCCTGGCTTGATCCACGTACTTCCAGCTCCAATGTACTTGGGGCAGAAGAACTCTGATCTTCATCAAGCTCTCCCTCACTTGTGCAATTTTCTATCGGCTCAGGGGCCTGCAAAGAAAGAGAGGAAAAAAATTGTTACTCTTGAGAAAAAGATACTATTTATGCTCTTACATAGTAAAGTTTTAGTTTAGTTAGAACTGGTATTTTGCAGGCTTTGATTGGTGTTTAGATATTTTTGGATTCAAAAGTTGGGAATCATTCAGATGTTGGACTGCAACTCCTATCATCCCGCTCCATTGCTTATGCTGGTTAAGACTACTGAGGGCTGAAACCCAACAATATCTGGAAAGTCATATGATTTCTACCCCTGTTGTATAAGATGCATCCTTTTCTTTATTATGTCTAGTGTCTTACATTTACAAAAGAAGAGAGACAAATCATCACTCAAGGCAGCTTTACTCCAAACAGCATTGTAATCTTTCACACATATGTTGGGCAGGCTATTATATGTAAGGCTACTAGGAAGCAGTGGTTTTTGCTTCCTAGTAGCCTTACATATTCAACCCCGTAGTCACAGTCTTGCCGCTGTATCTATCATCAAAGTATTTGGATTCTTTTCATTGAGATATTGGATATGTAACAACTTCAAGTCAGTATGGTTTTTTGTTGACCATCTCTATGGCAAATTCATTCAGATTTTTGTAAATTCATTTGGAATTCTTCCCAAGCACCCATCCTGTGCGAAAACACCATTGTTTTCTTTTCCCACAAACACTGGATATTATTATTATTACCATGCTTCTTGTTGGTGTTGTTCTCTTTATTTATAGCCTGACTTTGTTCCAAATCTAGGACCAAAAATGGCTAAAACAAAACCAGAAGTTATTAAAATACTCCAGAGAGACTGCAGATCTAATGGTTCTAATATCACAAGTTCTGTCCAATTTGCTAAATAGCTCCATTCCCAAAAATGTGGACACATACTTAATGGCACCCTTTATTGGCTGCAGTTACAATTCCTTCATAATCTTTTATGTTCGCATATATAAAAAGCGATAACATCTCTTTTAACATTCCAAATGATGTTAAAATACATTTTATATACAGTGTAAATTATTTAAAACTTGAGGATGTGGAAGAAATTTGTGCATATAGATTTTTTAATTCCAATGTTATTTTAATGGGGTAACTAATAAATTAATGCTTAATGCTTCACTCAATGAAAGTAATGAATGTCACAACTAAAAATGTGAAGTAAATAGTATAAAATTATCCCTTTAAATCCTGCATTATTGCAGTGATGTCACACAGACCTATATTTTTGAATAATATGTTAATGTTTTTGTTTTGAGTAATAAATGCTCCCATCATTCTGATACTGTCAAGGAAACTCCCCAAGAAAAACTGTTATAAATCACTAAAATACCTTTAAAAATCTTTTAGTGGTTTATAACCAATTTTATTAGGGAGTACCCTTGATATATCTATACCCTGTGGCACAAGTGGTCTTTCAATGGGTTACCATGTCAAGAGTGGAAAAATGTGTGTCTCTAATGTCTATGAATATATACTAGGGAAACCTTGCTCTAACTGCTCCTCTGCTTGGACGACTGAGGTAATAGGCTGAAATTATTTTGGGGATATTACACCAGCATGCACTATGCTAACGTATTTTTATGGTTGTGTAACTATAGTGAAGGGAGATGAGAAAAGCACCTTCCTATGCAGCTGAGAAGCCAGGTGCTTCCCAAACTGTCACACACCAAGTGAGAAGCTGCAGGTCCTTTCTCAAGAACAAGTGGTTGGTCCTTGGACCAAGCAGACAAATCTAAACACTTAGTATTCTTCATCCAATAACAGGGTTTCCACAGAGACAGGTGCTTTGTGGAGCTGCAAATTAAATCCATGTTTATCTTTCACACAAATAAACACTAAATGAAAGATACATAAGTAAGAAAAACTGCCCACTATAGCATATAGATTTTTTAAAAACAATCTCATGGTATGTGTTTATCTGGTTTGACACTGAGTCTACATTAGTTGATCAGTGCAGCAAAACTTCAGAAGTAGAATCGGGGCTCAAGGCTCATAAGGTCTTCACCTACATTTTTAACCAATTGTATTTGAGCTCTCCGTGGTTCTGAAACCACCCACAGTCATGTTCCATAATGCCTGTTTTTGTCAGAACCAAGATGCAATACTTCTCAGACTAGTTTTGCCAGAGCTACCATCCCGAAAGTTTCCTAAAAGAGAAACTACTTGTTCCATAATTCAGAAGTGATTAAAAACAAAACTGGGCCTACCATTAGGCCACATTATATAGCAGATACTGGGATGGGCTGCAGCACCGCCTGCCTTGTGACCCATTAGCTAGAACATTGCCCTCAGATATTGTGCAAGGAGGTGTCTAATTAGTTCTGGCAAAGTGAGACTCAGCTGCCAGTCTAGTAAACCTCTGGAACTGAATAGCCTGAGCTTTGGATCAAGCAGCAAAAAATCTTACAGTTGTCCAGATTAAAGAGGGCATGAGATAATTGCTCTGTAACCATCACAACCTTCTTCCCCTCCAACTGCTCCAGTGTCTTAAGTCACTATTGAGGAATGACACCAATGTGTGTGTATATCAGTCTGGGCAACCCCGAATCCCCAAGCAAATGTCCATAAGGTAAAAGTTTCCTCTGATATTAAGCTCCAACCTCTGGAGGTTGGAGCTCATCTCCATTTTTAAGCAGAAAAGCTGGCATTGTCCACAAACACCTCCAAGGACATGTGGCCAGCACAACTGCATGGAGCACCATTACTTTCCCACTGGAGCAGTACCTATTGATCTACTCACATTTGCATGTTTTTGAACTGATAGGTTGGCAGAAGCTGGGGCTGACAGTGGGAGCTCATGCCACTCCCCGGATTCAAACCTGCGACCTTTTGATCAACAAGTTCAACAGCCCAGCAGTATAATCCACTGTGCCACTGGGGATCCATAATCATAATGTCCATAATCATCTAGAAATTGAAAGAGTCCATGAAATCAATGTCCTCTGAGCAAAATGCAAACTACTAAGAAGAATGCAAACTTCTAAGATCAAAAGGAAAAGAAAAAAACAGGGGCTCTTTCATAGTACACTATTATATGCTATGATTCCATTTGCACTGCCATGGCTACATGCTATGGAATTCTGGGATTTGTAGTTTTGTATTTAGAATTATCTGCCAGATACCTTTAGTGGCAACTAAACAAACACCTGGAATTTAATTCACATGGACACGTGAATTAAAGTGGAATTACAGTGTTATGAGTGTGTAGTATAAAAGGTCGCTAAATCAACTGAGTGATAGTGATGGTGAAAAATACGACCTCAGATAAGGACTACCATGTATGCATTCGATAGAGAAAACAATTTTCCTCATGCACACTTTTTTGTTTTCTGCATAACTTTGAAGTTCTATAAAATGCTGGTGCTTGAAATAAACCTTATCTATCTCAACTAGTACCATGAGTAGGCTGGTTAGAAAGCAGGGCTAGGTCCTGGTGGATCCTTTGGCCAAAGTCGTGGTTTAATGTTTGTTCATCTTATCAGTTTCAGGGCTCATTCCAATTCTAAATCCTACCTAGAGATACAATAGAGCTGATATTTCAGTCCGGCCCAACAATAGTACCATCTTGTTTTACTCATGTTCAGAAAACTTCCAAATGATTGAGGTACATCAATATTCTTCTTCTACAGATGAGCCCTGGACTCTCCAGATGGTTTAGACTATAGCTTTTCATTATCCTTGAATATTAGCCCCTGGTAGCTGAGACCAATGGAAGGCTCAGTACAAAACATCTGGAGAGGCCAGGTAAGGGAAGGCTATGCTATTCTGTTTATAATGTGACTACCTTAATGAAAACTACAAATAGGTGTGTAGTTTAGTTGCACTGTGTCTACAAATTCCAAACTTCCAGATCACCTGGTATGGTGAGAAATTGTAATGGATTTTACAATCAATACTTTATTATTTGATTGGAATAAGTATAGAGAAATAGAATACTCAGACTTCACTTTCATGTTCCTATCAGGTGGGTTTCCATTGGATGTTCTTTGGAATTCTGTGATTGGAATTATAATTCTCAGGGAGAGAACTCCAGTGCCTCACCAAACTACAAATCCCTGTGATGACCCTGGCTCTCTTTCCAATCTCCTTGGAGCTTCCTTGGGGGTTTACTAGTCTGACTTTATGTTATCCTGCCTGGCAGTTGCTATCTTCAGTCAAGATAATTATGAGAACATTTGATGAAATTGACTGCCATCTGTGAAAACATATCAAATAAAAATAGAGAATGTTCAAGTTTTTACAAGATTCATTATTATTTTTTGCAAATCACTGAATATCATTTATAGGTCAGTTGGCTCTATCCCTACTGCTCTGGAACTCAGGTTTTCATGGAAAAAGGAATTTAATGTTGACACTTCCAACAATTTAGGCCATGTTAATTATCATCTGTGGTTTTTAATAAAACAACACTTAGAAATGCAGGGAAAAGATGGGGATAAGATAATCCAAATACAATAAGATTGACTTGTCAACACTCCAAATTTAAAAGGCAGTGTTAAGGGAAATGCCTAAGACTGCCAACCTAAACACATTTGAACTCAGCAGATCTTACTTTTGGAAAAGTATGATAAGATGCAGTGAAAGATGACAAATGCACAGCTTCTGTTGAATTTCCAACAACAGTAAACAAACTGTTGTTGTTATATTTGTTGATCTCTATCCAGCGTTTTCCCCAATACAGGCATCAAGGTACATTACAAGAAGTTTAAATCAATGCAATAGAAATACAAAAAGTTGTAAATATATAATTAAACAATTATTAAACCCCTAGAAATCAGCCTTTGGTTTTTTTAAAAAGCCCCAGTTGTTGTGCTAATAATGTAAAAGCAAAAACAAGAAAAGAATAATTTGAATTATGTAAAAGATAATCAAACAATGAATAGGATTGTGTTAATGGCTTATGCTGGCAAAAAGATCACTTACACTGGCATAAGATACTTTCTGACTGGGATGTGGCACCCGATCCTATCAGATCAAGGACCTCATCACATTAGGTCCCCTAATGTGGACCG